TTAGTCAGGTAATAACAGTATACACTCAGCATTATGTTGTACTTTTTCGTAACGTAACGAAATTTGTAAAAAACGTAACGAAATATTAGACAAAATGAGATCAGAAACAAGTATTTTTTTATAAAAGCTGTTACAGTAAATATAAAAGCTTACTAAATGTTCGTACCACACGTATTACAAAAAATGGTTAAATGAAGACTTACTGTTCTATACAGTGTGAGTCACGTTAAAGTGTACATATGAAAATAGATGAAACTAGACCTGTTTTTATCGACAAAAAAGAGGTCAAAAAATTTTTGAGATTTATTTTTTATTTTTTTATAGATTTTTTTTTCTTCCAATTACTTATTGTAAAGAAAACGTAATAACTTTTAAACTAAGCGGTAGATCCTGATAAAATAAAAACAGTAATAATGTTAAATAACAGGCAATACTAATAAAATACACAAAAAAGGCCAACAAATAATAAAAATTGATACTTTTTGAAAAAAAAACTGCTTAAACATTCGTGTTTTTTGGTTATTTGATAAATTTCTCCAAAAAATGCCCCTATAACCGGTGGTTTTTATTACTTTTAATTGTTCTCTATTGTATTATCTTTGTAAAACCAAAAATCGCATGTCTCTATCCCTATCACAACATTTGCTATGATCGTTTGAACAAAGGCCTGCCACAACATTATTCTCCGCTACAGGTAGAGACAATTTTAATTTTAACTAAAATGCTTATTTTACTTCGAAATCTTTTGTTTTTATTTGAAATCTAACTTGTCTTTATCAAAATTACAAATCTAGAGCCATTTTTAGTTTTGTTGTTAACGAAGCGTTGAATGGCGCATCCGGAGAGGCTTAGTTCAAACGATCATTGCAAACGTTGTGATAGGGATAGAGACATGCGATTTTTGGTTTTACAAAGGTAATACAATAGAGAATAATACAAAGTAATAAAAACCACCGGTTATAGGGGCATTTTTTGGAGAAATTTATCAAATAAACAAAAAAACACGAATTTTTAAGCAGATTTTTTTCAAAAAGTATCATTTTTTATTATTTGTTGGCCTTTTTTGTGTATTTTATGTATATTTTTAGTATTGCCTGTTATTTAGCATTATTACTGTTTTTATTTTATCAGGATATACCGCTTAATTTAAAAGTTATTACGTTTTCTTTACAACAAGTAATTGGAAGAAAAAAAAATCTATAAAAAATTTAAAAAAATCTCGAAAAATTTTTGACCTCTTTTTTGTCGATAAAAATAAGTTTAGTTTCATCTATTTTCATATGTACACTTAAACGTGACTCACACTGTATAAAATCGCTGATTTTACTTCCTGTTACGAAAAAGTAATCCCACAAAACACACGTTATCACTGATTTTCGCGATAGATGTATGGCGGAGACGTCAGGCCAGCAACCATTCAGAGTGCAGCTATTGTTGTCCGTGTAAAAAAAATATGGAATTGTTCAGAAACCATAGGAAAGTAGAAATAATCGTAACTAAAGATTAATTAACGAAATAGTAAATGAGAGCGACTCATTTTGTTTTTTTTTGCTTTAAATTGCTAATTATTATATCACCCCTTAGAAAATCAATTTGATACAGAAACTGCGATTACTGTACAACGATAATACAAAGAAATTTACAATAATTTAGTTACGTATCGCATTTTATGAAACAAAAACACATGAAAAAGCTAGGGTGGCAAACAGGTTTTTGTATGAAAGGTAAAAAAGGACTATTTTTAAAATATCTAAATATTTGGTAATAAGTAGGATTATAGCTATAATTCTTCGTTATTTTTTAAGATTAATATTCATCCTTCAAAATTGTGTGTGTTTTTTTGTGTGATGATTTATAAATATAAAACTTTTGAACTGTTTTCAAAGCACACTTTTTTTTTCAAGATGTACATTTTTTTGAGAAATACTCATTCATATTCCATCCAATTTTGTCCTTCGGAATTTATTTTTTTATAACTGCAGCAAAGACTAAAAGGTGTCATTAAATAATTGCCGATAGGAAATTCAATATGATTACCAAAAACGTTAACGTTACAGTTTAAATACATTAATTTATTTGCTACGTATACGTAACGTATGAGACGGTTTCAGTTGGTGAAACCAAATACGCCGACGCGACGGCGGCACTAAACTGGAGCCTGCACCCCACCAGTGCAACCTGCAAATCGCCCGTGCGATGTATTTCAGACGGGACGGTAAGAGAAATGTACGTTGAATTTCCCAAATGAACAACATTCTCTAGCTTACGTTATTAAATTATCATCTTACGTCAAGTTGCCATGATTTATAATAAAATACAGGATGTCCCAAAATTTGCACGTCACACTGACACTGCAGGTAGCTGAGTCTAAGACGCATCGAACAAGCTTAATAAGTATATCCATAGAAAAGTTTCATAAGTTTTAAGATATGACAAATTTTATTTATTCATGTCCATAGAAATATTTGATGAGTTTTGAAATATGACTCATATTAGTTATTTTTAAAAATGGACTTAATATACTTCTTAGATGCGTCTAGAGCTCATTTACCTCTGGTGTCAGTGTGACGTGCAAATTTTGGGACACCCTGTATATATTTGGTTCTTACTTATCAACGGTCAGTGAGTATTCTTGGACCTAAAGAGCTATACATATTTTTCTCAGATGTTGATTTTAAAAAGTGAACAAGGAATATGAGAAGATTTTTCGATATACAGCTGAGGAATTGAAAGTTTTGATTGCATTCCGTAATTTTTGAAACTAGAAGTTTTAAACTTTGTTTTAAACTGGGGCTAACGATTGGAGATGAAGAAATCCGTGTCTTAACTTTTGTTTCTAGACTTTTATTGAGTTATAGAAACAGATTTTAACGTTTTCAAGTTCATTATGTATGTATTTGTATGATTTAATATTAGTTTTAATGGGTACTAGAGGATACTCATACACAAACGTTTTTTCTTTACCATACTATTATCATCATTAAAAGTAGACCATACTTAACGCAAACAAAACGGCGGGCAAAAGCTTATTAAAAAATAAAAAGCCTCGCTCGTAACTGCTCAAAAGGCTGGCAGTTGTCGCTAATTAGAAAGCGGTGCTAATTATTGGTTAATTAATATTATGTCGCCGTAACTACGAGTATTTACGACATCGATCGCGTGTACGATCAAATCAATTTGTTGTTAAAACTGTTGTCGCATGAATATGTGAGAAATGATGCATTCACGACACATCAATTACTGCGGTGGTGTATCTTTTACATGGAAAAAGTTGTGAAAGGAAACGATTATTTTTTCAGCATTCCTTCAAAAATGGTACTTATTTTTGTCTTCTTTTACGTAGGTACTTGTTCACATGTAAGCGGAGTGGAATATCTTTAAGGAAACGTATTCTCTACATCGTTAGCTTACCGGACTGGCTTAGAACATTGTGATTAGCCCCACTGAACTTTAAGAAAAGACATAAAATTGAGGTTTCTTTTTTGTCATTTTAAGCCAATTTTTATTTGTCTACGGTAATTCTACATTATAACAAATACAGTGGGTCTAGACAAAGTGCAAATTATAATCGCAAACCAGTCGAAAAGTGGTCGAAAAGCCCCTTTTTTTGTATGGAGTTTTGACGGATTCGATTTTCGATTCGATCAAAAAGTGCGTTTTGACTAGGGGGGCTGGACATGTTAGGAAAACAAAAAGGCATCTCTATTTGTTCGAAAATCAATCGTTTGCGGGTGATTTATGTATTTATTCGTTTATTTTTTAAGCAAAAGCGCACCTGGCAGCTGGAATCGGATTGCGTTGATGTCTTATGTACTAGCCTTATGTACATCCCAGTACATAAGGCTAGTACATAAGACATCAACGCAACGTTTCGCCTATATATTAGACTGTTACTCAACTTCGCGTCATTTGTCGGGGGTATGTAATAATTACTCAGTATTAAAGACACCCTACACCGTTTATAAGTAATTAGGACATTTTTTAGGGTTCCGTAGTAATGACAAGGAACCCTTATTTATGTTTACTACAGCTTTTTGGGCTTTGATAAGGTTTTGCGAGCTTCAATTTATATTTGAGGACGTTTTGGAGGTTTATTGATGTTTATTGTCAATACTAGGAACAATACGGTTGCTCAAAAGTCTGATATACAACCTCAGGTTCTTAAATTTGTCATCTATGTATGTTAGGTTGATTTGATGGTGTTATGCGATGTGTATCGTTATCATTTGTTGCTAGTATTTAATAAAAATGCGACTTGTGTTGTTTGTATTGCTTTGGTTTCGTGACATTCCGACGGAAAAACGTTCTTATTTTCACTGTTTGCCCAAGTGTTTTGCAATCTGACGTAAACGCGCCTAAACTAACAATCCGCCAATTATTTTCATAGTAACGATTTCGTGGCCGTATACTTTTTCAATATTCGGTAAGTGAGCTGTTTATTCGCGTATTTAATCGAGCGTTAAAAGATTGGCCAAGCCAAGCCACGGAGCGCTCTCTCTAGATGAGCACAATAGGTTCCCAACTGTTTTGAAACATGACGCCTCTTACGTCACCCATTCTAATAACGAACTAAAATGGTTTTATTACATTGTTTCAGTCACGCTAAACGTTCCATTGTTAACTAACCAACTCACTGACGTTTTCGCTTCAGCTGATTCTTAATACAGTGCTATCAGAGGTATTATGATAATGAAAACGTTTCACATATAAATGGCTTCGCTGAGCATTGTACAAAGTAGACGACAGTCGCGCAAGCATTTGTTCTTATAACATTATTTCTACTTAAGAATAAGAACGTAGGCGTAATGAGAACGAATGGGATTTTTATCGGACGTAAGGGACAACGATGTCGTAAGGTTTCAGTGGCGTGTTTATCGGTCATTGCGGCTGAACGTGGCCGCGTGGATTAGATGAGCGAGCTCGTCGGGCGAGAAACTCGACTCGAGGACGTCCGCGTGGGCGCGCGCCCTCGGCAAGGACGGCTGCTGACGGTGACTCACCGAGCGGCTGGTGCAGCGCGGCGTGCGCGTCGCAGTCGGCACAGATGGCGGAGCGCAGCATCCGCTCGCGCTGCAGCCGCCGCAGCAGCTGCAGGTGCTGCGGCGTGAACACCGTGCCCGAGCGCTCGCCCACCAGCACCACGTCGCCCGCCTCCCACCAGGCCTGCTCGCGCAGCGTGCCGTCGCGGTTGAACAGCCCCATGTCCTTGTACCCCTCCGGCGGGCTCAGCGCGCCCGGCTCCGGCTCCTGGTAGCGCTCGCACGCGCCGCACCCCGAGCATTCCTCGCTCTCTCCCTCGTCCGAGTATCCGCACTCGTCTCGGACGACAATAATATAATCTGCCTCAAAAAATTCATTTGCGCTCTCATCGAAAACCACCCTGTGCTTTTTGGGTTTAGTGCCCTTTTTCAGTGATGACTTTAAGTTATCGTGATCTTTGTTGTGACGCGTGTCACGGCCGGCGCGGTCGCCGCGCATGGTCGCGAGTGTTCGCGGCGCGGGCGAACGCCGGAGTGTCGCGTCGCGGGCGGCGCGGAGCAGCGGCGGCGTCGAGCAGCGGCCGCCGGACGACGCCAGACTGCAACGCCACACCCTGCTCGCCCTCCCCGGCGCGCGCCTTATTGATCCGCGCCTGCCCGACTCGCCGACTCGGCGGTGCCCGCGAAACGGCTACAGACACAAAACACGCGGTGATATCATCACTCTTGTTGTCGTAAACATTTGAAACTCGCGCTCTTTCAGCAGTTAGGTTAACTGTCAAGTTTACTGAAGTTACGATTGTTTCGCACACTTATCGGTTTCAGTATTAAAACGTGTGAAAATATAGTTACAAACTAAGTTAAACTTTTGAAAACTGTGCGTGTTTTGTTCATGTTTGTAGTTTAACTGTAACTTGTGGCTATCAGTTTGTAAGTTGTGTGAACTAAAACTTTTCTATTTAACTCCTTATGCATTGTTAGACAAAAACTATTAAAAAGTACTTAGTGACGGGATTTTTCGTAAGAACTGTCATTCATCTTGTGATCTTCACACTTTTTAAAGTTCTATAAAAGTTTTGTGGTTCATTCTAAGTTCTCGAGCAATGTATAAATAAAATTGAGTAGGAAAGAAAGCAATTAATGTCATGTTATTAGTAAATTAATTAGTGCCTCAACTCTACAGTGAAAAGTTTTATTGCGGTTATGAATACTGAATTAAATAAGGTATTATTTTTAAATTAGGGTAGTGGATTTTGTGTAGATATTTATTGCGAATTTGTGAACGAGTTAAGAAGAATGATTTATTATCGTTATTGGTTTTAGTGAGTTTACGTAGAGGAAAATTCACAAATGAAACTACATAAGTAGATTGAATTTAAGTAGGTATGTGATGTACATAAGTAACTAAAGACTACATTTTTGTTTCAAAATTGATTTTAGTTGGGATAACTAATTAAACATAGTCGCTCTTCACATTCTCAGTCCAGTTTTACATCTTATTTCTTATAAACCACGCGAAAGATATAAAAAAAATTAATTTAGAAAATAAAAATCGATATTTTAAACTAAGATCGACCACACTTTTAAAATGTAAACAAACATAGTGTACCTAATACTTAACGAATATTTTCGTTAGATTCCTCTCCTGTGAAAAACGGCGGGAAAACTTTTTTAACTAAGTGCCAAGCGAAATAACTTTTGAAACCGCGTGTCTCCCGTAGGAAAAAGAGATTATTTAGTGTTAATTTGAACTCTCTCTTTGATAAACTCTTATACTTGTACTTACCTACCAGGGATGTTATGGATATGAAGTTTCCGGTTATGGATACGGTTACGGATATTAGAATAATATACTCAACATCAAATAAACCGCACCTTCCGCGACGCGAACTTAAACGATTTTCTTCTGACACAATCATGGTACCCCAACAATATTGGTGTTATTTGAAAGCCCAATAAATATCCATAAAGAAAAACACATTTAATTTCTTAATAAATGATTAACATATACCATAAATGTGACTTGAAAAAATACCTCACTGTGGGCCCACCTATGGGATCAATTAGACCAATTTTTATGGTTATAAAACCAAATAATGATTTCACGTGTCCTCTTTAACAGATGGATAGCAATTAAACCCAACTTAACAGTTTTATAGCCATAAAAGTTGGCTCTAGCGTAACTACCTATTTTTTGAAGAAGTGACTCTGGATCCTTCTAAAGACACATTTTTGGGGTAAAAACCTTTCATTTAATGAAATGAAGGTTAGAATTAGGCTTTTAAATGGTACCAATATTGGTGGGAAGTGGGGATGCATACGTTTGAAAATGATTGTCGCGGGAGGTGCGATTTATTTGACGTCGAGTGTATTATACCAGTTTCGGTTACGGTTACGGATATGAAATCATTTCGGATTATCCGAAAGTTTTGGAGAATTACGGTTACGGATATTTGAATTTTTTAAATGTTAAATTCAGATAGCAAGATGCGACCCACTATACCCACATAGCCACTTTATGTACCATGACGACACCTAAGATAAAAGTAAAACATGCGGGGATATTAGATGGTGCCAGGGAATGCCAGACAAGTTGTACCTAACATATATTAAGATTTAGACTCCGCCTTTATCCGAAACTAATCGAAACTTTTGAATCGGAATCCGAAAGTTTCGGTTACGGTTACGGATATATCCATAACATCCCTGGTACTTAGTTACTATGAAATGCTTTCAGCTCCTAAGGAACTTCTACAAATTGAAGAACATGAAAACCTTGACGTAGCTGAAACTGAAGCGCCATCTGGAGTGTGAAATCCAAGTCTTCGCCGGCTAGCAGCAGAGGTAAACTGTGTTGTATTTAATGTTTTATTAAGGTTTAAGTTTTTGCGACGGATTCTAGACCTGGTTCACGTAAGTACCTACTTGACGGTGGGGGCTGAAGGTGGTTTAACTTTTAAAGTAAGTATTAAGCTAAGCGTCCACTTGTCGGCATCGTACGCAACGGACGCATCGTACAAAACACATCGTATCGGATGTGCGATGCGCACGATGCGGACAGGTGGACGCACTTATATGAGTTTCTATATAAATAATACTACGATCTGTTGCGTGCGATACGTCCGATGCGTACGATACCGACATGTGGACGCTTAGCTTTATACAATTATTGATATAGTAGTACTAAAATTGGTTAGCGGTTGGTAGCGTGGGCAGGTCTCCCACTAGGTGGACCGACGATCTGCGGATGACCGGCGGCGCAGGGCCGGAAAACCTTGGGGGAGGGCTTTGTCGACTTTGGCGACAGTGGACGTCTTTCGGCTGAAACGAACGGACGAATTGGTTATGATATAGTAATCTAAAGATATGAGGTTGAAGCCAGCCGCAACCCACACCTCAGACTTTACCGCAGCGTCGCTAAGGCTGAGTTGCACCACCTTATTTTAACCGTAACTATAACCATAATCGGTGTTTTTTGTATGGAGTTTGACAGACTTTTTAAGTTTGTTTGAGTTAAAGTAAAATGGTGCAACCCAGCCTTAGTAAAACAGTGAGTCTAGACAAAGTGCACTTTAAAATAGCAAACCAGTCTAAAGGTCTTTTTTTGTATGGAGATATGACGGATTCGATTTTCGATTCGATCAAAAAGTGCAGGGGGGGCAGATATTTCCGACATCGAGTCGTGCTACGTACGACGCGACATTGTTTGACGATGCGATGTCGTATCGAGATAAACTACGAGTACGACATCGCAACTTGTCTCCTTAACGTCGTCTCATTTGTATATTCGAAAATTAAATGCGATTCGACGAAGGAGTGCACTGTAAGTTTTTACGAAAGGATGTCGCAGGTTTTTACTTTTTACCTACTCGGGCTGATCGATGCGGTGAATGAAGGTAAATGGTTAGAAAACAGCTGATAAAAGCCAGTGAATAACTTGGATGAAATTGTCTTGCAGCATATTTAATATTTTTTTAGGATTTATTATTTTAATTTTAAGTGTTTTAATTAGTAAAGCTTTATTAGGTTGTGACGCGTTGCAACGGATTTCTAGTATAACTTGTTGTTTATTAATTATTTTTTAGAGGGAGGGATCAGGGATGTTATGGATATCCGTAACCGTAACCGAAACTTTCGGATATCCGAAATAAAAAAATATCCGAAACCGTAACCGAAACAGGTATAATATTATTCCTTTAACCGTAACCGTATCCATAACCGAAACTACATATCCATAACATCCCTTGGAGTAATCAGTTTTCTTTTTTATGTACTCGTAAGTATAAACATGAAAGTACGAGAGTAATAGCCATTTTCTATCTCTTGTAATAATTAGAAAACAAAACTTATAGTCCGATTTTTAATTCGACGGAATTCTGACAGCTGTCATTTTTTGACAATTCAGATGTAATAAGCCTTTTTTGCTTTGAATTATTAATAAATAATATGAAATGAAATTTCATCAAGTAGGTACAACTTACAAGAATGAACTAATTGTTTGTTTTGTGAATTCAATGTACACTAATTATTATGTACATTTTAGAGTTTAAATAGAAAAAAACGTGTTTTTAACACAGTAAAACAACATATTATCATAAACGAAAATATGTATTGATCATCAATCATCATTATCGTCATCATAATCAACTTGGATTATAAAATTGGCATCTTGTTAAATTGATTATTTTATGAAGCTAAGATTTTATTAACAAAAGGATTGTCATAAAAAAGGTTTGTCACCCATGGATTATTGGCCAGGGAGTCCAGTAATAGAAAAATAATTTCCCAATTTTTTTTGTAACTTCAAAAATATGATAATGAAAATTCAAATAACCATTCTGAAATGATCATTTCATTTTTAAGCCTTAGTTTTTCAAGTGAAACCTTAAATTCAAGAAAGGATTATTTTTTAATTTGTGAAAATGCTCTCCATTCTTAGTGGGAATGTTTCAATGTTAGCAACACTTCTGAAATGTCAAAATTCCGTCGAATTAAAAATCAGAGTTTAGTCATTTTACCTAGATGAAAATTACAAACCTGTGTGTACTTACGTTAGCATAAAAACTTATTCAACGAGTTTTTGCCATATAAATTGATGAAGGCGTTAATAGTTTCATTTGTACAATACCTAATGGTACAAAAAGCAATGAATACTTACACTCGTTCGGTGATTTGAACACTTAATTCCAGACGATAAAAAAAGTGGGAAACCGTGATTCAAGACGCTCCTTTATTAAACCCACTACCTACTCTTGTCTCATCTGATGGTTACAAAGATGGAAGCAAACTTTGCCCGGAATTCTCAACCACTGAGGAACTGCCTCCAACTGCTGAAACACAACAATTAAATAAATAAATAAATATCCTTGGACATTTTACACTTACGCTTCTAGTCCCAAACTAAGCAAATCTTGTACTAATGGGTACTAGACAACGGATATAAACATACTTATATACTTTTTTGTAAATACAGGGTGGCGCAATAGAACGTGCATATTGCATCTTTTTTTTTTGCGGGGTAGAAGGGGCGTGGGCGAGGGGAGACCGATATCGTTGGGTAGCACGGTTCATGAAGTTTTAGTCACTATGAGTCACTTCGACGGGAAGCGTCGCGCATTTTGCGTGCGCGCATTTTACGAAAACTCTCGTTCGTACGTAGTTGTCAGGCGACTATTTTGTTCTGAGTATGGTGTACGGCAAATTAGGGAGGCTCCGAGTGCTAATTTAATTAAAATCTGGATAAAGCGGTTTGAAGAGACTGGATCGACGTTTAAACCACACGCAAAAGGTCGTCCACGCACATCTAGGACCGAAGACAATATTGAGAGTGTTAAGCAGTCGGTACGAGAAGATCCACAAATGTCTACTCGCAAGAGATCGTCTGTCCTAAACATATCGCGACGAAGTTTGCAACGAATTTTAAACTTGGATCTTAAATTGCATCCATACAAGCTGCAATTAACTCAAGAATTGAAAGACTCTGACTTCATAGCACGGCTCACATTTGCTAATGAAATGCTCAATCGGTTTTCAAATTTTGAAAACATCCTTTTCTCTGATGAGGCACATTTTCATATGAATGGGTTCGTAAACCGCCAAAATTGTCGTTATTGGAATAGTGAGAATCCCAGACTCAAACATCAAAAACCGTTACATAGCCCTAAAGTGACAGTTTGGGCCGCAATCTCTGCCAAAGGAATAACCAGCACTACTTAAGAAAGTTTTCGGTAATTTCCGTTTGCGGTTAGAGGAGTGCCAACGTAGAGAGGGTCATCATTTAGATGATGTTATTTTAAAAAAATAAACTTCAGTTATCACTTAATAATTGCTTAGTTTTATTTTAACTATACCTTTTGTATTTATTTTTTAATAATTATTTTAAAAATGCACGTTCTATTGCGCCACCCTGTACATACATTTTTTTACTGTTGTACATCCTACTACTGCTTGTGACCACGGCTGCAGCATTGCAGCCGAAACGTCAAGCCGTGAGTATATAATGTAACTCATTAATAAACGTCGCGTTAAGACCCGTGTCTTACTATTTTAAATGCATACATATTATACATGGTAACACACAGACCCATCACAGAAATTAAAATTCATCATTTCAATTTCTGCCCGGTCGGGAATCGAACCCGGGACCTCTCGGCATAGTAGACCGTTCTGAACCACTACACCAACAGTTATGGCGACAGACATAGGTAAGATGGAGGTAGAGCCAGGCGGCCTTAGAAGAGGCCCTACCTACTAGGGATGTTATGGATATGTAGTTTCGGTTATGGATATGGATACGGTTACGGATATAGGACTGATATTAAACCGGATAGTTTTTTATTTCGGATATCCGAAAGTTTCGGTTACGGTTACGGATATCCATAACATCCCTGCTACCTTCTTCTTCTTCTTCTTCTTCTTCGTCGCTACACTCTTGCCAGAGTGGTCGTGGTCGTCACACCAGGTCCGGTGGCAAGTCTCACAATCCGTCGCCTTTCCTCCCGCACTGCAGCCTTTCTTGTGCACTCGTGGAGTGGAGTCAGTCCAGCGCATGGGCGACCTGCCGCGCGCTCTTGTGCCCTCAACCTTCCCCTGCACGACAAGTCGTTCAACAGAAGCGACGTCTCCACGTGTTATATGGCCAAAGAAAGTGAGTATACGACTTTGGACGATGGAAGAAAGACGCTGTTTGACATCAAGCTCTTGGATGACCCTGCTACCTACCACCAACCAAACTGAGCAACTTTTGCCCTCCTGGAAATCAAACCCGGACCTCTGTGTCTGAAACAGATAGTCTAACTCTAACCAATAAACCACTGAAATGTAGAAACTGGTTACATCCAGTAGAGTCTGCAATAGGATGTAATCAAAATCAAAACAATTATTAGTAGTGTAGGCCCCTTCTAGGGCCCTTCACGCCCCAAACCACACCAACTACAAAATAGTGACTGAGTTTTTTGTGCTGCTTCTTCTCAGCACTGGCCCATTTATTGTCCTGAAGCAGTGCTGCAGTGGTAGGGTTAATATTGGGACGCGTAAAAGTGCTTTTAAAATGTTACTTGCATATAAATAAATGAGTTTTTATGAGTTTTCAAAGATGATGGTTTATTTTATTAGATAGACTGGAAAACAATTTACAACAGCTGTGCGGAATAATCAGCTCGCCAATTAGCTTCGTTTAATTACATCTGCAAACAAATCCGCTCTCCGTAAGCTTCTTACTACACGACGATGAATTAAGTTTATCGATATTCTACGAGATACTATTAATTAATATAACACGTATTATGGGACCTTCACTACACTTAGTTTATTTATTAATTATTTTTAGGAAGCAATTCATACTTGTTGAAAAACATTGATTTATTTTGAACTAGCTTTCCGCTCGCGGCTTCGCCCGCGTGGAGTTTTGTCTGTCACAGAAAAACTTTATCGCGCGCGTCCCTGTTTCAAAAACCGGAATAAAAACTATCCTATGTCCTTTCCCAGGACTATCTCTATGCCAAATTTCATAAAAAAATATTTAGTTCAGTTTGGTAAGTTACTTAGGTATCTACCCTACTAACTTATGTACCTAGGTAAAGTACTTTTCAATCGTACTATGACGCACGTCGTGGACTTGTTTATGATTAAATCTTTATTTTTAGCATACGATTTCACATCAACTTACATTTGAATTTCAGAGAATAACATAAATTACCTAAATAAATATAAAACGCACACACAGATTTTACTTGTGCGTCTACGCAGTCATAGAGCTAGCTGCGAACAACTGGAAGTGTTAGTGAAAATATAAAATATATTACTGTACGTACTTAATGCCCCGAACTCTTAGGTTTTTAAATAGGTACATATTAGGATTTACCAACATAAGTTGGTAAATATAAGAAACTAGCGGCCGCCTGCGACTTCGTACGCGTGGATCCCTTTTTACCCCCTTATAGGTTGAATTTTGTAAAATCGTAGTCTGCATAGTCGAATGGATTTATGTTCTACTATGCCAAGTACGATTTATCTCGTAACTGCTTGTGTATGACGGCATACAGCATAAAAATATCAAAATATTCTGGCGCTGAAAGGGTTAAATTCCGTATTACTACGAGTACGTATAATATAATCTATTAAATGTAAGATCAGTAAATAAACGACACTGTGAAGTGAAACTTTTGGGAGTTCCTACAATGAGGAAAGAAAGGAATAAACGTTAAACTTCCGCTGTTACATTAGGGGGCGTCCATAAATTACGTGAGACAATTTTGGCTATTTTTCAACCCCCCCGCCCCCCTTGGTGAGATTTGGTGAGATTTTGCCTGACCCCCTCCCCCACCCCCAAATCTCACGTGATATTAAAAAAATCCGAAATTTAATAGTTTTGGAGTAATATAACTGAGAAACATTTTTTTTGTGTGCTTTAACGTTGTTGCTAACGAGTGCATCAAAAAGATCTATAAAGTTTAAGATTAAGGGACGCTGTACAATCATCATACATTTAATGTATGTCATTTTTTACGCAGTCGCTAGCGGATGACGATTGTGTAAAGTCGCACTAAGCCCACTGATTACGAATAGATCCAGAAAAACAAGTGTAGTGACAGCGGTTAGTACTAGGGTCACATTGTTTTTTTACAGAAGTACCTAGTCTAATTGTTCCTTTCTACAAAATCACTAATAATCTAGCAAAATCGATTTTGATAAAAAAAGAACTTGTTTTATAATTTTCTTAATTTCGTCATTTATTCTGCATTGTAGTATTTACACATGCAGACGGAAGCATTTTTAGTTGTATTTGTTTAGACTGTATAGAATAAAATGACATTATCATCATACAAATATCATTTTTAGTCCTAACAAGGAACCCTTAATATAGTTTCGATATGTCTGGCTGTCTGTCTGTCCGAGGTTTTGCTTGGAAACTATTGGCACTAGGGAGCTGTAATTTTGTAGAGGTATGTATATTAATCACGACGACAAAAGGGTAGAATAAAATTTAAAAAAAAAATTTTTTTAGGGTAAAGTGGGGATTTTTTTTTCGTCTTCTACCCCATTGTGTGGGGTATCGTTGGATAGGTCTTTTNAAAATTTCATACCTAATAAAAATGCCTTAGAAGAAAATATTAAAAGTGACTTTAGATGAAGTAATTGCTTACTTCTGAAATATATTGTGATTACGACGGACAACTAAGGAACCCTACACTTCGCGTGGCACGACACGCACTTGGCCAATTTTTTTACTTAAGATTTAACCCAGTTTTCTGGCAAACTATTTCTCTATTTCTTGTGGAAAAAAATACGTGATATTTCCCGAGACCCCCCCTCTCCCCCACGTGAGATTTGGTGAGGTTTTTGTTGACCCCCTCCCCCCCCTAAAAGCCTCACGTAATTTATGGACGCCCCCTTATGTATTTTTAATTTAGTGTGTCAATAAAAAGAAGATGCATAAATCCGTACTTATCTATCTAACGCCTCCACTCTGGTCCACACTCCACTTCTTATTCTACAATAAATAATAAGTATCGCCCGAGCGTAAAATGTAAGAATCGACCTAAGCGAATCCCAGGAGAAAATTTTAATATTCGCACAAACGACCATCATCAAAAAACGTAGACATCTGGGTATTTGCTAGTACTTACTTAGGTACATTGTTATTGGCGACAAATCACCGGTTGCTACTTACAGTAGACTTCCTAGTTGGATCCCCGTCGGCCATATGGACTGGAGAACTTAGTCCAAACAAAAGCATAAATAAACCCTAAGTGATTTACTTACCAAATTGTTTTGTTGCTAATTTTATCGTTTCATAAAAATTGCTCTGTGGCGGAATCTTACAATCACTGCAATCACTGTAACTTCTTCACTAAATCAGCCTTTGAGTCGAGCTACAATGAATACTATAACCCACATACTCTCTCTCATCTGTGCTATAACCGGTGCAGCACTGGGCTGATTTTATAGCCCGCGCAAGAAAGTTACAAAACTCCCGCCATGTTGGAGAGTGTTGCATGTTACACGCTACTTTTACTACCATCAGTTTATTATTTGAATAAAATTTACGCATTAACGGGTCCTGTTATCTAACACAGAAATACGAAATATCTGAATTCTCATTTCGACGATTCACTTATGATTTTATTAGGGATTCTCTTCTCTGAATATATGATAAATGGACATGCGCAGATGTGCAGCGATGAAACATAGTGGTGTTATAACATCTTTGTCAGTAGCAATCGATCTTGCTTGCTTGTCTGTGGCAACAGAAAACTGTCAGTTTGACAATTCTGTGTTGCGATCGAGGTGCAGGCTGTTTACCTACAAAAATAAATTTTAAAATTGCTTACCTTGCACAATGTTTCATGAATAGGGTACCCACGTTAATTCTTGTGTGAGTGCTCTTTCTGCCAACCCACGGGTGGTCCGTTAGTTCATCAGGCAAGAAATGAGCGATAAGCCACGGTAAGTAAATTTATGTTCATGTTACTTTGAATGAGAGCAAACAAACATCCTGCTTTAAATAAAACATAAAGTAGATTTTACTTAAAATTCTGTAGAAACTGGTAGCTAGATTCAGAAAATAGGGCAAAGCATAATGTTAGGAATGGTCCAGAGTAAGTCATTTGAAATTTAAAATCTAGATGCCACTGCATTGCGTGGGCAGGTATATATACGATGCACATGCTGTGATTGCCCATTTCTTTGCAGTAGTGCACCAGCCATTGTGTGACAATCTCGTATATCCTTTGTAATTTAAGTGAGAGTTCTCAAGTAATTTAAAAGGTTGGTTTTGATAACATGTTGCTAGCTTTGCAATTTGCCATTTTCTGCATCATCTGATTTTTTGTAGGTATAGAAGTTTTACAGTATTGTTTTTACTGCAAACCATAATGTTATGTTTTTATTTGCATCAAAATTAAAGTAATAAAGAAAAATCAATTGTTTAGGTAATTTAATATTTGGTATTTGCAATGATATTGCATTGGCAATAGGTTTGGTCTGCTGTAGGTAGTTTCAACCAAATTTGATTTACTTAGTTTAATCAAAAGTACTACATATCCTTACCTTTTCTCAAATGCCAAAAATGATTTTGTCTTGTAGTTGAATTATTATCAAATTTAATAAATGTAATAAAAATTAACAGTTGTTTTTTACTGTATTACTTTGGGACAAAACCATCCAGGTAACATTCTCACATTCACAATTAAATTAGGAGGCATCGCTACAAATAACTTGCATGTGTAGGTTGCATTTACCTATGGTTCGTCTGCTTAATTACTGCTAAAGTCATGGGTAATTTTGATTATTGATGTTCTACTACCATTAGGATCATTATTATTAGTAAAATTAGTATTGATAGGACTACTAATATACTTTATTGTATCTGTTTGGTTCTACCAGACAAGTAGTCCTTTCTAGCAGTAGGAGCATCTGCAATTTAATGGTAAAATATACTTAAAGAGCACTATTTTATATTTAACCAGTTTATATCCTACTTTGAGTACTACAATTTTAACATTGATAACACATTAATATTAAAAGTGCGAAAGTTTGTGTGGAAGTATGTTTGTTACTCTTTTACAAAAAAACCAATTAAATGTGGTGAAACTTTACAGTATTATTGTTTATACATCAGAATAACATATAGGTATAGCTATCCGTGACAAGCAAAATTTCATGCGGGCAAAGCAATGGGTTTTTATGGCTAGTTCTTTCATAAATAATATCAACTGACTTTCTTGTTGCGGTATTATTAGTAATTTTTAGCATATTCATTATAAATTTCCTTTCAAAGACCTAGATCCCTTATATTATTTACTTATTCATAACTAGCTAGAGCAACATAACTATGATGTACTTATTATGTGATATTTTTTCTTGGGTAGGGGATCGGATCTACTGAATAATTGCATGACTTGTGTGAAATCAAAATTGAGTGAAGTTCCTAGAAAGAACATTGAATAGTAAAATTGTTTTTTGAAATTATATCTTTAAAATTTTGTCATACTGTGATTTGTAGCTCTGTTGAACTATAAATCTGTTATAATATGTAATGTCCATTAACATTAATGTTTCAACTGGTTATTTGTAACAATAGTAATTTATCAAAATAAATTATTTCATGAAATGAACCAAATTACTTATCTTTCATACAAAAGTAAAATACTTGATAAATATAGATCGCCTTTAGAAATCTTTGGGGAAGGTAGGTCAACCATCTTTAGATTCAACGGCAAATTTCCTGTCTGTGAAGACAGCGGTTTGCAAGCCATGTTCAGTCTTGTCGGCATACAATTGTCAAATCAAATCATTTATTTACATACAGACACGGTACATTAGATGGTAAAAAATAAAATAGATCCACATGTCTCGCCATAGTAGGTATGGCATGTAAAATTAATTAGTAGGTAACATATAATATTATTATGACTTATTTATCAATATGTCAAAGGTCATAGCAATCTAAAAGGTCCCTAGGAAAAGTTGTAGTTATATAGCAGAGAGATAAGGTTTTTTAATTATTTCCAGATAATGGGTATGTGTTGGAGCTGTTTTAAAGATAAGGCGCCGGATGAGGAGAGGCCTTATGAGGCGTCCCCGGAGCAATGCCGGGTGTACAAGCCATACGACTCGGCCATGGTGGACCGCTTGGTGCTGGAGATGCTAAGTCTGATCGCATCATTTGTTGACAAGTGAGTTTCTGTCTTTTAGGGTTCTGCACCTCAAAAAGAAACAAACGAAACCCTTATAGGATCACTTTGTTGTCTGTCCGTCCATCTGTCACCACCCTTTTCCTCGGGAACGCGTGGAGGTATCGAGCTAAAATTTATACTAAATACTCAGATCTACTGTCCCTTGGAGCTGTGAAAAAATCAAACTTCTAAACCAACGCAATCAATAGATACAGCCCTTTATGCCGCAAATTTCCGCAAGTATCGACACTCTCAATGGAATCAAAGCCTACAGGGTACTTCCCGTGAATTCAGAATCTTGTTTGGTACGAAGCAACGTCTTATAGCACAGATTAAAAAAATATCGAAAAATGTAATTTTTTTGTTAAAATATTCTTAATAATTTTAAACTAACTGCCCCTTTCCTCATGAACAGCGATGTTAAATTGAAATTCATATGAAATACTTAGGTCTATAATACCTTTATGCTGTAACAAAATCAAAGTTATATGTATACCTACAGGTTTGTACGGAATCCTCGATGCGCATCGCGCGAGTCCGACTCGCACTTGGCCAGTTTTTTATTAACTTCTTATCTTCAACCCGTCTGGCCTTAGTAGGGACTAGGGAGTGTAGACCAAATCCTTTTTACCTCTGGTAATAATTTATCTAATGATAAGGTTCTGCTTCTGCAGTAGAGGCTAAACAACCTAATGATGAATCCTACTTAATATTATAAATGCGAAAGTTTGGATGTCTGGATGGATGTTTGTTATTCTTTCACGCAAAAACTACCTTACGGATTTTGATGAAACTTTACAGTATTATTCTTTATAACCCAGAAAAACATACAGGCTATAATTTATGACGATTATTGACGATCTGTGACAAACTAAATTTCACGCGGGTGAAGCCGCGGGCAGTAGCTAGTATGAAAATAAGAAAAGAAAACCCTAGTTTTTTTAATGGGGTAGATAACACCACAAGTCAATTCCCATACTTTTTATGTTACTGTCTACATGTAGATATTGTATTTGAACCTGCAATGTTACTTGCTGACCAACTCAATTTGTAAACTAAATGCAATTCTCCTATACATAGTTCTGTAATGGAATCTATAATGGGTGTCTGTTGCTAGCTAACTCAATTGATTAACTATTTATTGATATTCGATGCAATACAGTTTTCAGGGTTATTATGATGTATTATTATTTTATAAAATTAGCGTCTTGGAATTATTAAAATTGAATAATGGTGTGAACTACCCAATTAATTTAAAAAATCGTTTATTAAAACATTGATTGCTTTATGTAAGGCATGCTGAAACTAATACAGTCTAAATAAGTACAAAGTTAGTTAATACAACAATTCTGTGTTTGGTATGTTTTGCTATCATCTCTTGGTTTTACCATTTGCTATAGGTAGGTAATGGTAGCAATGTTATTCTGACTCACCACACTATTAATTGTATTACAATAATTGATATAATATGTACACTCACATACTCTTATAGCATTGTACCTACAATTGAAAGTTTTCAGTTGTATAAATTGGTACATATGGCGAACTTAATGCTATAAGAAATTCTTTACCAGTTAACCTTTGGGCTAATATAATATTGATAATAATTAGGCAGTGTTTTATAAAAAAGATACTTAGGATGAATCATTTTTAAAGTCTAATCGAAGGAAACAGTTTTAAGAAACTTGGCTCATTTTTACAGAAATTCTTATGGGTGATGTTATTGTTACCACTTCTTACCAGGTCGGATATTAAGTAGGCATATAGGTACTGCGCATGACGTGCGAATACAAATTTAAATGTTGTCCATGGCATACATAATGCTATTGCTTATTCTAGTACTCTACGCAATATTATTCTGAATAAATTGCTACAAGCGACTGTCTTATCTAAACATACCTAGTTGTTTTTTATTTAATGTTAATATAGGGATTTGTCCTGGGTAAAAAGCAAGAGTTTGAATTAGTCCGTCAGTTAACTTATGAAAAAATACTGGATACGTAATTTTCACTTTTACAAACTAATGAAAATTTACAGAGATAAAGCGCACCAAAATTCAAAAGAAGTGGCCTGTGACGTCAAGGCGTGCCTAAAAGTGCATTACCTACTTTGTGACGTCACGCGGAATTTCAACGCATCATAACTTCGTTATTACTTTGATTGACAAATAAAAATATACGTGTGTAATATTTTTTGATAATGTAATTGACGGACAAAGTTTTTTTTTAGGAAACTAGCCTATTGTGGCTATTAATTGACAGTTATCTGAACATTTGTGAATTTCGTTATTAGTGAAAAATATAATTTTTGTTTTGATGAACTAGGCAGTGTTGGACAAATTATTAGTGATTGATTATTAAATCAAACTTATTACTTGATTGGATTAGACAAGTCCCAATTAATGTTTAAAGAAAACATGTTCTGTATCATACATACCTACATAATTAAGGAAAAATAAAATTAATTAATTAGTATTTATAAAATTTCCACGAGCCGGAAGACGTAGCGTGGGCAGGCCTCCCTCTAGGTGGACCGACGATCTGGTGAAGGTCGCGGGAGGTGCCTGGATGCGAGCGGCGCAGGACCGGTCTTCGTGGAAATCCTTGGGGGAGGCCTTTGTCCAGCAGTGGTCGTATTTCGGCTGAAACGAACGAACGAACGAAATTTCCTTAGTGCTCGAACAGGCGGGAATTTAAAGTGCAACTGCTTCAATAACTATTGAGTTACAATGCTCACAACGTCTTTTATGATTCAGTTAGTCATAATTCAATTTGTAATAATCAACCAATCTGCTGAGAGGAGAGTGGTTTGACCTAACGCTGCTATTTATAAAATCTCTTTGATTGTAGGTACTCGTTTCCTTAATACCTAGGTACCTTATTTAAGATAATACATAAATGAGTGTATAAGGATTAACTTCAAAAATAAATGATGCTTTTAGGGTTACTAAACTACAGATTATTTTCACTGTATAAATGGTATATCCATCAATTTGTTACATGCACCTTAAAATGAGCCTGAAATTTTCCTTTATTCCTACTAATTATAAACCGCACAGCCTTGTCATAGTCTATGTTAATTAATTATTTAAATCAACATATTTGGTTGATGGCAAAAACAAACTTAAGTTGAGCGAATATACGCACAAACCTCATCAATATTCATTAAGTACTTATAGTGTGAAAGAGTAATACATTTAGGCCGATTCGACCAAACTTTAATCCGAGAATAACTTCTGGTATAACTGGCACATTGACAGTTTCAGTATCGGAAATATGTCAAAACTGACGATTTATTCTGAAATTAATATTAACTTTTGTTTAATCCATCCTTATCCATCTACTAAACAGGGTTCTATATTGGCTCACATAAANTATCAATGATTATGTTTTTAATTAAGTAGGTTTTAATTTTTTTATGAAGAATGATCATTATGATATCAAATTGTATGAGAAATATTTTCGGACCTCCAATGATAGGAATTGAAAAGTTATGTAAGAAAATGCGCTACCACTAAACAGTCCCAGGCTTAATGTTAGTCGAGTTCTGATTCTTAATATTACGACTTTTTTACCCGACTACGGCAAAGCCAATAGGAACAGTTATGATTTTATGATGGAGTAGCGTTAATTAGGTATCAATAACAATAGCTCATTCTTTAACCTGCCGAAAAGGGGGAGAATATAAATTATTTGAGGTGATTTTAGCGTTTTTCGGATTCCTCCCCCTCCCGTCTTAGTGAGATATCGTAAGATTTGACTCCCCCTCCCCCTTCCTCTAATCTTACGTGAGATTTTACAAAAAGGGTATTTTACTGTAAATGCGTTAATTCAACCTAATATTCGAAAAAAGTTTCTTGTGAAAAACATAAATTACGTGATACTTGCCCGGCTTATACATGGAAACCAATATCGGTACACCCATGTGTTTATGCTGAGTGGGCATCTTTATGCCACAGCGTACCTTTTGCTGTATTGTGTTTATTGTTCTTCGTATGTGTCTCAAAGTTTTTGTTATTCTTAACCGAATTACTTTAATTTCAGCGAGGAGGAGTCTCCTGTGCTGCTGGTGAAGCTCCACATGATAGCTGACAAGGAAGACGGGTGGATCCAAGTGGTCTCGTCCATGGTGAACGTGATACCGCTCGAGGATCCCTTCGGGCCCTCCGCCATAACCATACTCTTTGACGACTGCCCTCTGCCTTCCAAGGAATCAGTTAGGAGGGTAAATATTTTTTTTAATGCAGTTTCGTAAAGGAAGCTCTCGGCCTGTATCTCACCACCATCACCTGTTGAAAAGTGATGATCAGGCCGAAGTTGGAAGCGAGATTCACCCGGAATTCGAGGACCTGGATATCTTACCTTCTTCTTTTTCTCTGAAACTGCTGGACTAAAAACTAAGATTGATGTTGATATACACAAATTAATAAAATTATAGCTTGGCTTGATCATCATCAAGTGTCAAAAATGTAGAGATAAATCTATTTATGACAATTATGGTGCATTTAGCCACAGTTGTCTGTCTAGCTCATATTTTATTGAATGACTGATTGATGCAAACTGCTGCTATATTATAGTCCACACGTAACAAATTATTGCATCTTTCCATAGGGTTGCTAATGGAGATTAACACTGTATGATTACAGTTGACAGCACATCGCACTATAAATGGAAAATAGCACCTATCAGCAGTCAATAGACAGTGCAAACACTGTGACGCAGACGTCAAGCAAACTTGATGGCCGTCGTCCGTACTAGCACGGAACATAGCTCAATTGACACGATCACATTATTGTGCTCAGCTCAGCTAATAGTGGTCGAGGATCTGTCCACAATGTTCAGGGAATTTGGACGAACAATAAAAAGATTTGATTAATAGCAATCAAATTAATAGTTCGGAAGGCAATAGAAGTCTGTCGTTGGAGTACGAATTTGACAGCTCGGCGTGAGAGCGCCCACGTAACGCGCTGTGATTAGTCCATAGATCAGCAGCGACATTATGACGTAAATAAATGTCTAGGGGTTTTTATTACTATTAGCTGAGCTTGTGAAGCTGACCTATCCCTCCAGCCGGGCTAGGATGCGCGCCGTGATAAAATCTTATCTATTAATTTAGACGACAAATGTATGGATTTATCGTGTTAAATCGATAAAATGGCGTGATAAAATATTATTTATCGTGAAGAGCATCCAGGTCTACTGGCCTAGGGGAGACATCAGGACTTTAGAAATCCTGTTGTGTCCCACAGGAAGATTTTAGGGTGTGCATACGTACATGAGAACTGCATCGCAGCAGGATACAGGGGGGGTGCCTCTGGTTGTGTACAACCCAGGGCCTGCTAAAAAAACGCTGTTTACGTAGTTTCTGGCATCTCGTCTTGTGTGAGAAGAATAGCAACATTCGAAACTTCGGATAACGTTTTTCAGAATATTACCCCGCTGGCAGAAGACGATATTCGGTTCATAAGGAAGCATAATTCTCTGAAATCAATTTAGAAGAAAATTCAACAACCATTTCCGCCCAGGTGACGGAGATGTTCAATCTGTCAGCGGAGCGCGCGAGCACGGGCGAGCTGAACGTTCGCGTCGAGCGGAACATTTGCGTCGTGCTCGGCTGCATAGCGGAGAAGCTGGCGGGCCCGAACAGCGTTGCGGTGCTGACAGAGAACACACTGGATTACCTGCTCACGTTCTTGGTAAGTTAATCAAAGTTATACATACGTTTTTATAAATAAATAAGTAATTAGTATCAGTAACTGGTTACTAAAATATCCCCTGTGGGTAAAGTAACCTGTATTCTTGCTATAGACACAGATACGTTGCACATACCTTACATTAATTTACCACTATATCATCCACGATAGTTATATTAGTTCACAATTAAAAATGCTGTAGCAGCAGTAAAATGAAACTATGTTGAAATGCGCTGCATAACTGCATTCTATTATGATGAGCACAGGGTCTCCTATTATACTCGTAGTATAACACGTTTTGTTGTTGTGTTTTGTAACAAGTTTTGTTCATAGTAACGTCTTCCGTATTTTAATATTCTTATAAACGTGAGGTCAATGTCCTCAAAATTTATTTATTTATTTGGTAATAATAATATCACACAGCACAATACCCACCACCACCAAGGTTACAATGTACAGTCACGGAATGAAAAGGTTCGTCAGTTTTCAAATTGATTCCTTCAACGAATCGCGAGCACATATTACCTTTTGAAACTATGTTACAGAATAATCTCGAGTTAGAGAAAATAATCTTTAACTGTTCGTCAGTAAAGTTCAAAATTATTCAGATCAAAGTTGTTTGACGATTTATCTTGTCAAGAAGATTATTATGATTGATAAACTAAAACCTTCTTGTTGGTTCAAACTGCCATTATTATTTCTTTTAAATAGAAAACACTATTGTCAATTGGTCAATGTCATCATTGCATTGCACTGATGGGATAGAAAAATAAACAAGCAAAACCTTATTCGTTAGCAAACGTCATATTTATTTAAATGTTAGCAGCACTGTTTCTTGCACTGTTATGTTGGCAGGTTTGACTCTCACAGTACCTAGTGCAAGCGAAAACCGACAGTAAGGTGACGAACCTTTTCATTCCGCGACTGTACACTGGTCATCACAAAAATCGACCCTCCCGCGACAAGCACTTTCAAACGTATGCATCCCCACTTCCCACCAATATTGGCACCATTTAAAAGCCTAGTTCTGAACTTCATTTCATTAAAGGAAAGGTTTTTACCCCAAAAATGTGTCTGTAGAAGAATCCAGAGTCACTTCTTAAAAAAATAGGTAGTTACGCTTGAGCCAACTTTTATGGCTATAAAACTGTTAAGTTGGGATTAATCGCTATCAATCTGTTAAAGAGGACACGTGAGATCATTATTTGGTTTTACAACCATAAAAATTGGTCTAATTGATCCCAGAGGTGAGCCCAAAGTGAGGTCTTTTTTCAAGTCACATTTATTGTATATGTTAATCGTTTAAATCGTTTAGTAAGAAATTAAATGTGTTTTTCTTTATGGATATTTATTGGGCTTTCAAATAACACCAATATTGTTGGGGCACCATGATTGTGTCAGTAGAAACGAGTTTTCCTGTAAAACGTAGGTGGGCCATTTTTGTAATGACCAGTATAGTAGTTAACGAATTATCCGGCATATTCCACAGGTTATACAATATTCTTAGTACCTACTTATAAATATTAAAACACTGTAAGTACATCTAATCAAATTTTTGCACTAAAGTTAATTAATGGCTTTATCGCAGCATAAAAGTAGTTTACAACTTAAGTTTTTATTTTATTGGTGTTAATATCAACAATAAAACCATTTTATTATCGCATACATTGTATAACGCAGGTTTTATCAACTTGCTTAAAAGAAATAGGTACGTATGGATGGAAAAACTCACGCGAATAAGCAACTAGAGTAAGTGGCGGCTGTGTTCAAATTTATATCTTTGAAATGTAAATGTAAAAGAGCTTATCAGATGGCAAACTATACCTTTGATGTGTCATCAATGACTTATCGACGTTCAATATTAAAAAAACGCACTTTTCATTGTTTGGATCACATGATTTGCTGCCTCTTACGACATCGATGGGAAGAATGAAAGTAGTCCCATTCTTCTCAGCCAGAACCACACAGTAAATTTAAAGTATTTTTTGTCAGCCAAGGTATTTTTCGATCAAAACGAATTCCAATGGCACTTTTTAGGCCCAGAACACACGGTGAAACGCAACTGCAACGAAACTGCAACTTCTAGTTACTTTTGAGTTGCATCTAAGTTTGGCGCACATGACGCGACCAGTTTGACCAGCTCAAACCGGTTTCAAACTAGTCGCGTCATGTGTGGTCTCTCAACAGACGCTATGGCAGAAACTTAGATGCAACTCAAAAGTAACTAGAAGTTGCAGTTTCGTTGCAATTGCGTTTCACCGTGTGTTCTGGGCCTTATTCTTCTTGAAACGTTTTGTTTTTTTGAACCCTTTATTCCATTTCAACCACAGATCACGCGTCGCGAAGCCTGCGTAGTGTTGTTCGCACTCATCGCTCTAGAGAAGTTCGCGCAAACCACAGAGAACAAACTGTCTATAAAACATCGCTTCGAGCGCGAGGCGGTGAATCCGCTTCTGATCCTTGAGGAGATGGCGGAGAGCGAAGACTATATCTGGAGGCAGGTCGGCTTCTGTGCCAAGTGGGCCCTGGATAATCTGTGTAAGTTACCAAAAATTCTTGCACTAGTCTGGTAGTCTATTATTGTATTAAGTATTGCTTTTAGCTTTTGAAAAGAGACAGAACAGAAGTGTGAAACTATACATTGTTTGTTATTTTTTATCATGACGTCTACTATCTAAACACTTGACAATAGCCAAACCGGTATGCTCATTGCCCAAGCGCACTAATGAAGGTATTAAAAATATGTAACTAAATTGTACGGAAACGTCATAACTCGCTCACGTCGCTCTGCATAAAAACTTACACACGCAGATACGCAGATAATGTATAACTAAATTGCTGGTATGCTCATGAATTCATGGAACTTTGCGAATTTTAATTAAATTGCTTGCATAACGCCAATGCGAAATGTGCTCCGCCCTTATATTTGCGAGCGCGATGTCATATTTATGAAACTGGATATTTTATGTTGCACATGCATTTGAAGTTTATTGAAGTATTGCCATTATAATCATACCCACAAGTCTCATTCTCTTCTATCTGTCGATCAACCTGACGTTCTTTTACAGTCGTGGTCGAGGGCCGAAAACTGTCATACGAAATCGTGGACATGAGCAACATCAACGTGATACTAAACTCGCATGACGTCAGCGAGTACCTCAAGATATCGAGCAACGGTCTCGAGGCGCGCTGTGACTCGTATTCATTCGAGAGCGTGCGGTGCACGTACCAGGTGGACGATGGCTGCTGGTACTACGAGTGCACCATTATAACACCGGGGGTCATGCAGATAGGATGGGCTACCAAGAACAGCCACTTCCTTAACTTGGTGAGTCCACAAACCTCCTTCCTTTTTCATCTAGCTACTTCCAGTTTCTCTTGAAGCCACTAGTTTTTAGAACAAGTGGCTGTTCTACGCTACATTTGCTGATACCTGGTCTCCAATCACGATTCGGTTGACTCCACCTTCCAAGGATTCTCTGACAGATATGACCGACCCACTGCAACTAGAGCGGCATTTGTTTTGGTAGCTTTTCTCGTGACGTCATCTGCTCAAGACCTGGAGATATCGAGCGACGGTCTCGAGGCGCGCTGCGACTCGTACTCGTTCGAGAGCGTGCGGTGCACGTACCAGGTGGACGAAGGCTGCTGGTACTACGAGTGCACCATTATAACACCGGGGGTCATGCAGATAGGATGGGCTACCAAGAACAGCCACTTCCTCAACTTGGTGAGTCCACAAACCTCCTTCCTTTTTCATCTAGCTACTTCCAGCTTCTCTTGAAGCCTTTAGCCCATCGAGCAAGTGGACATTCCTACGTTACGTTTGCTGATACCTGGTCTCCAATCAAGATTCGGTTGACTCACCTTTCGAGGATTCTCCGACAGATATGACCGACTCACTGCAACTAGAGCGGCTTTTGTTTTAGTAGCTTTTCTCGTGACGTCATCTGCTGAAGACCTGTATAATTAGGCACTTCCTGAACTTGGTGAGTGCACTGCTAGACAAATATTCTTTTTTCATCCAGAAGCTTACAGATTTTTACATAAACTGATGGTCGGCTGAGCTACTGGGACAGCTACTTCCTCAATTTGTGATTGCTTTCATCATTTCCGCCAGTGACAGTCCACTGCTGGACGCAAGTGCCAGCAGACTGCTAGCTCTCTTATTGCAGCCGTAAGTCCATTGAGTAAGTGAGCGTATACACCACGTTTGCTGAGACGTGGTCTCCATTTGAAAACGAGTAATCTCCACCTTTCGTGGATTCTCGTAACTTTTCTCGTTCCTCCTCCTAGGACCTCCTTCAACGCTTATTTTGTGTATATCGTTCGAGCATCGCCCAAGTTAATTAAGTCATTCAAACAAAATCCCACGGGCAAAAACTCCAAGATCTCACAAAATGATTGGGGCAAAATTATCATTGCAAGTTGATGTGCTAATATAGACTATTGTGTTATCACCAGGAGGGCTACGGCATCGGGGACGACCTATACTCGCTGTCGTACGACGGCTGCCGTCGGCTCATCTGGTTCAAGGCTCGCTCGGCGCCCGTGAGCGAGGTCCGCGCCTGGCGCCCAGGCGACGTGCTCGGCTGCCTCATAGACTTCTCGGCCCGTGAGGTCATCTTCTCGCTGAACGGGGACCGCCTGCCCGCCTGCTGGGAGATCTTTGAGACCACGCGGTGAGCCCACATTTTACAGCGGAAGACTGAACAGTGAGACACTGCTCGGCTGCCTCATAGACTTCTCGGCCCGTGAGGTCATCTTCTCGCTGAACGGGGACCGCCTGCCCGCCTGCTGGGAGATCTTTGAGACCACGCGGTGAGACCACATTTTACAGCGGAAGACTGAACAGTGAGACACTGCTCGGCTGCCTCATAGACTTCTCGGCCCGTGAGGTCATCTTCTCACTCAAATGGGACCGCCTGTCCCTTGTTTGGAGATCTTTGAGACCACGCGGTGAGACCACATTTTACTGCCTCATAGACTTCTCGGCTTCTCGGTCCGTGAGGTCATATTCTGGCTCAACGGGGACCGCTTGCCCACCTATTGGGAAATCATCGAGACTACGCGGTGAGATGACCTTGTCCTACAGGTTACGGTGGTCTTTGTCGTCTATATTGCGCGACACCTGCTGGCCTACCGTCAGAATAGGAAAGATGTAGATCATATTTTTGCCCTACGGAAACTGACGACCCACCTGTTGGGAGATCTTCGAGATTACGCAGTGAAACCACATCTTACAGGCAGTGCAGTGAGACATTAACGCCCGAGAATATCATATGCAACAATTTAAAAGCAACTAACCCTGTGTTCTCAGGCCTGTTGACATACAGTATACCGAATCGTCAGATGTTTCCGCGCGCGAGCGATAAGGATGGGTAGCTTGGGGCCATTGAACGAAATTCTACGTGCTCGGCGACTGGACTTTAGTTTCACTGTTGATTTCTGTTCTTATTGCCTCAGGTTCGGTTTCTTCGCTGCGGCCAGCTTCATGGCCTTCCAGCAGTGCCAGTTCAACTTTGGACACGAGCCGTTCCGCTTCCCGCCAGCTGATCGAACCTTCTCATCGTTCAACCAGTTCGGGGAACTCACTGATGAGGAGAAACAGGTATACACACTCATAATCTGCCTTTATAGACTTGTAAACAAATAAATTTGATTAATATTGATTGATACCTATTGTTTATGCCTGTAATTAAAAATCGAAAACGCCGGTCTCTAATAATTACGACAGCAAAACGATTTCAACTCTCTATATGCACTTTGCTACGTTACTGATTTCTTGCTCCCAGGATCTATAGTTCCAGGATGAAGCGAACTATAGATCCTTGCGCACTGTGAGACCTCACAGTAATGTTTGTGAATACTTCAATACGGGCGTAAGTGTAGTTACTAAATAAAGCTTCAACCACGCCATCGTATGCAGATCGCCATCGCCGGCGCGATCATAGGCCGATGACAGGTCGCGCGGACTGTCATTGGCCTTTAAGGCATAACCAGGCCTGTTCATCTCCGCGAGTTTACATCGAAAACAAAACCAGCACGATGGCACCCTACAGGATTACTATTCGACAAGGCCTCAGATACGAGCGAGCATTAACTCACGCACGCGTATTCTTGTGTATGATGTAAAAAAATAATGAAAATGGTGTACTAAATACTTTGCAGTATTTAACTGCCTTGATAATTCTTAATTAATCATGTATTTCCTCCACCATTTTCTGCAGTTTGGCACCTCACGTCACACAATGTGTAACTGCTGTAAAATGATGTCATCATTTTACAGAAGTCAGCCCTATGGTACCGATCACTGACGTTTGTCAACAAAATGGTGCTTGAATCTTGAGACAAGCTAAATTACACCATATTGTTAATGACATTGAGCATACATTTTTTTAAATACCTTCGCGAAGTAAACCTTCTGTACGTAGTACTTATTATTATTCTGTGGCATAAGGCAAAACCCTTAACTAAGAGACTGGGCATGTTATCGTGTGCAGGTGGTCCCGAGGCGGGTGCTTCTGCAACAGCTGCGCTGCTCCAGCGTGAAGGAAGACTCGTGCACGCTCTGCTTCGACGACACGCCGTGCTGCGTGCTAGAGCCGTGCGGACACAGGTGAGTCCACATTAGGGATGTTAACGATATGTAGTTTCGGTTATGGATACGTGTACTGATATTTTATTTATTTCGGATATCCGAAAGTTTCGGTTACGGTTACGGATATCTGTGCTTTAGTTTGCAATAGTTGTCTAACACGGTTAATTCATGGCCGCCCACTTTACATCGAATAAAAAGTAATAAAAAAATAAGAATTGATACTAGATGGCATTATTATAAAGGTAAATCAGGCTGTTATGCCTTTACTTAAAATGCCATACAAAAAGCAATTTAAACTGCTTACATCCGAAACTATCCGAAACTTTTGAATCGGTTACGGTTTCGGATATTTTTTTATTTCGGATATCAGAAAGTTTCGGTTACGGTTACGGATATCCATAACATCCCTGGTCCACAGGTCACAGAAACTAAAGGGAGTTGTGACGAGGGGGTGAGGCCGGTGTCGCAGCAATGTGTCCAAAAATAGAAAACATTGACGTTTATTGACGACACAACGACGTCATAATGTAAACAATTTACATTTCTTGCGTAGTACTAAAGATTATTCGAACGTTGAGTCAGTGCTCAATCATAATATGCGCTCATTATCCACTGCGCTATCATTATACCGCAGTGGATAATGAGCGCATATTTTAATTACTTTGTTTGTGTGAATTTTTAATGCGACACTGAGTTTCAAACTTAGCTCATTTGTTGGCATCTCTCTATATCTCTAAGGGTGAGTCAGACACGTTCGTCATCATTAGGGTTTCTGCTCGAGCTTTCTCGAACTCGAGAAAACTCGAGAAATTTGGCTTCATTCGAGACGAGAAAAAAATTACCGGAGCTCGAGAATTCTCGAGTTTCGATTTTGAAACTTTAATATTCTTGAAAGCCTATTTTCTTAGACAAAAATAAGTTTTAAATTATTTAAAAGGTCAACGTTGCTTTTAGACTGACCTAGTATTTCCTTTTTTAACTGATTTAATTTCTCAATCGAAACTAAGTAATAATAATGTTCATGTTCACCAACGAGTATATTTATTATGTATTTTTAACTCTGACCGATTTAAAGACTGAAAAATTTGTTAACTAGACAGTAACTTTACCTAACAGACGTTAGGTTAGGTACTCGTGCCTCCTCGTAAAGTTTATTCAAGTCGTTATCTGTAAGAAATTTAAAAAAATATTAAATAGTTTTTTTGTTCATAAAAAAAACTATTTATCGTAATTTTGCTATTTGGACTTGTGTTCTTTAGAAAACAAGTGATTCAATTGTAGCTCCAGATTTTTATTGTTATTTATCCTTAAAGTACACGCGACTTTATAACTTTTGTAATGATTATATTAGTAAATATTAATTATGAAAGAAGATTTTATTTTTTGTTTCTTTCCTTACCAAAATAAGTGGTACTAAATTCTAATATTGATTGTAGTGCATAAAAGTAGGTATATTAGATTAAAAAAAACCTGTGTTTTTATGTTTCAACCGATTTCAGCAGTTTTCATTAGAAGACTCGAGACCCGAGAAAACTCGAGACTTTGGCCTCGAGAATTCTCGAAACTCGAGAAAAAAAATAAGTCGAGAAATCAGAAACCCTAGTCATCATCCTTTAGGCGCATTAGGGCTAATTCTCATTATGGCAACCGACTCCCTAATGGACTACTTCTCATTGTGGCTACTTCACCATTTCAGCCATAAGACGTCCACTGCTGAACATAGGCCTCCCCCAATAATTTCTACAATGGCCGGTTGGTGATTGTATGCATCCAACGCCTTCCAGCTATCTATTCTTAAATAACGTATTAAAATATTGAAGAGTTAGTTTGTATGTTTAGTTGAAATCTCAACTACTGGTTCGAATTGCCGTACCCTACAGGGCCCATAATTTTCTAATGTTGGCTACATAATGGATGCAATACAATATTGAGTATTGAATTAATTAAACAAATATTTTAGAATCGGATAGTCCCTTTATCGAGGAAGGCCTATAGTCTATACAGGGTGATTCATATAAGGTGTCAAGCCGAAGGTAGGTGATAGGTGAGGACTAGACTTCGAGGACTTTTTAGAAGTAATCGTCAATTTCGTGATTTTTTTTCAATTGTATGACCTAGTAGGCTTTAATTTTTTTTATCTTTTTTTGGCTTGACTTTGAACACCACGCTACAACTTTTGAATTTGGCAGCAGTGGGTTTATGGCTCGTAGCACACCTCCGCTGCAAAACCATGGCAGCAAAACTATTTCAATATACATCTCTGCGTTTACTTGGCCACTGCCAATGTGGGGATGTGATTTCAGAGTATATTGAAATAGTTTCGCTGTCATGGTTTCGCGGCGGAGGTGTGCTCCGGGCGTAAGAGATTATTGATCAAAAGTGTCACATTTGCATATTAACCGATTGAATCCCAGACGGCATTAATTAATGTCATAACAATCTAAATATATAAAAGGAGAAACTGACTGACTGACTGACAGATCAACGCACAGCCTAAACGGCTAAACGTAGGCACTTGAAATTTGGAAGGGACGTAGTTTAAGTACCGTAGAGGTGCACTAAGAAAGGAATTCCCGAAATTCCCACGGGAACGGGAATTAGCGGAAAAAACCTTTGTATGAAAAATCTAAACCGCTTAAGTTAGATGCTTGAAATTTGGTGTGCAGGTACCTTAGTAAACTTAAAGCTTAGGTACAACAGGATATCGTAAAATTCCCACGGGAACGGGAGTTAGCGGGAAAAAACATATGTATGAAAAAATCTAAACTGCGTAAGATAGACGCTTGAAATGTGGCATGCAGGTACCTTAGTAAACTTAAAGCTTAGTTACAAGAGGATATTGCAAAATTCCTACGGGAACGGGAGTTAACCGCTGAAGATAGATGAAGGGGGTAAAACGGGATCCACGCGTACGAAGTCGCGGGCGGCCGCTAGCTATCATCTATCTATCTATATAAATAAAAATGAATTGATATTCGTTAGTCTGATTATAACTCGAGAACGACTGGGCCGATTGAGCTGATTTTGGTTTTAAAATGTTTGTCGTAGTCCAGGTCTAAACGGTGAGCAAATACGCGCGCGATATTGTTTTTCTGTGACAGACAAAATTCCACGCGGGCGAAGCTGCGGGCGGAAAGCTAGTTGATTATCTATTGTGTCTAGATTCGCGGAGCTTGAAGGATTAAGCTGGTTTAAATTGAATAAAACATTTTGTTTTTTTCTTCCTCCCAGGGGCTTCTGTTCCCTCTGTACGTCGCAGCTGAAGGAGTGTCCGATGTGCCGCGCGGGCATCCTGAACATCCGCCGCGAGGACACATGACAGAAGGCCTCCGCGTCCAGCGCCAGCGAGCCCACCAGCCCCAACATCACCATGGACGAGTCCTCCACACCACGCTCCACCTCCTATGTGTTCCCTCCCCTCAATTAACCAGCTCCGATTTCAGCTTTACCCCATAGTCAAGCCAATATACTAGTCTGTTAATGGTTGACATCAGTAGCTTCAATTTCACAATAGGCTAGATGATTTCAATTATTTGTCCGTCAGACAGAAAATATTAGACTCGTATTTTTTATTTTCTTTCATAATGAGGGTTTTCGCGAATGAAAGATCTGGGTGGCGGGACGTGGATGTGGGGTCTGACTGCTGCGTGATTGGTGGATTTTGACATATCTGTCAATGTCATGTCAAAAATAACCAATCATGCAGAATTTGGACCTCGCGTCTACGTATTGCCATCTGGCGGATTTTTCAATCGCGAAAACCCTCATTAAATAATAACAGTGCTACATTGAGTTGAAATGTCGCGTGACGTCACTTTTGTGTAGATTTTTTACTCAAAAGTGACGTCATGCGACATTTCAACTCAATATAATACTGTAATAATTCGATTATGAAAAAATACATGTCCAATATTTTTTTATTGTCTGTCTGACGAACTAAATAGAATTTCGATTTCAATATACTAGTCGGATAGTGGTTGACTTCAGTAGCTTCAATTTCAGGACCGTCCCATACGCAAACCAATACGCTGGTCTGGCAATGGTCGATATTTATTCGTAGTCACTCTCACGACTGTCCGAGACTCCTTCGTTTTCTGGACCATAGACACACCATTACGATACGCTAGTGTGATCACAGTAAGTTGACACACCAGTGTGACTGGTTTTTTTGTGAAAAAATATGTAACCTGGCATTTTATTTTTTCATAGTAACTTTTTCATTTAGTACCCTTATGGAGGTAATTTGTGCAAATTATCCGTATGTAATACGCCATTTTGTAGCGGCGGCCATCTTGACTTTACAAAGATACAGAATGTATCAAATTATATTGTTATCTGAACAAAAGATTTTTACCAAATTAATATCAGTTACTAAATTTGACCCAAATAAAAACAGGGCAAGCTAAATAATGCAAAACCGTTTGACAACGCTAATTGAGTGGAAAGTGTGTTGATGTGATTACAGATAAATTAATTCACCACTATCACACTAGTGTGACATTTTTGTGTGACTATCGTTCAATTGTAGTAGATTTACAGATTCAATTCTCTCAAAAAGCTATTCTGATGGATCTTGAAGTTAATAAGTATATTCAATGTGATCATAGCGATCATCTGCAACTCTCTTTCCTTTAGATCTGTGTTAGCTACATACATACAGTGTTATATGTTATTATATGTAAGGTAGACATGATGTCAGTTTCAATAAGCGAATTGCCATTATCCTTGATCCTGTGTGTTTAACTATTCTGGATGTATACATAGTTAAATTTGCTTTTTAGGTAATAAGTGCGTGTATTTAAAATAATATGTAATCTACATTCCTGTACCGCCAAATGGGCAGCTAAGGCCCATAATATCCCAACATCGAGTTGCGTCTTCTTCTTTGCTTGCATTCAAACCTCTTTCAGGGGTTTATTTGTGCTAAAATCAAGTGGAAATTGACATAATTCGGAACAATAGAACATAGGTGTAGAAGTTTTGAAAGAAATCCTTAAAAGGCGTGTCTGTTAGCGGCATGAAACAGCAAATTGTTTGGCGAGCTTATTTCCAAATGATAGATGAACCTTGTATAATCCAATTGCGTTTTAAATATATTTTTTTTCACTATCGACATAACATCATAGCTCATAATTTAAACACATTTTACAGCAACAGTTAGACGAAGTCAAAAATTGCAGAAAACCTAAAAATAATTCTTATTTCAATAGCATACATTATTTAATTACGTGTCCACCTGTGGACCAGTGTAACCAGTTTTTTGATATCTTATAGTTTAGAAATAATCGAGTCAGATCACTTATCGTTTCCACCCTGTATATTTCTTATGTTAATATCAGCTAGAAATTACATTAGATTCGTTCTAACGTTGGGTTGTTTGTTTGCGTTTAAAAAATCGTGATTTGCTCAAAATTTTAATAGTTTAAATATCTGCTGACTTTTGAGGATTTTTGAAGTTTCTTAATTTACTTATACAACGAAACCTGAATCAGTGGCATTTGCTGATATAAATTCGAGAATGGCAAGAGACTAGACAAGTTCGCTAATTAAAATTATTTTTCTTTAGTGGTAAGTTCAAAAACATCGGAATTCATAAAATTTAAAAGAAACTTAATATTAAATAATATAAAGACCAAAATATTATATCATTCTTTTAGGGGGGGGGGGGNTCAGCTAAGCGAGACGAGGCTCAAGCCAGTCCCCGGTGCTACGAATGCCTAAATTGATATTTCATAAAAGTAGGATAGTTGACACCTTTATAATTATGTTGACCATTTAGGGATGGGTTCGCAAGAATGTAATTAATATTGGATTCACCACGTTCACTAACACCCGTATTCACAAACATTACTATGAGGTCTCACAGTGCGCATGGAAGCACAGAATCCAAAAAAGCTATTCATAGACAATACTTGAGTTGCAGAGTGACACATACGAACAAATCACAGAGATCTAGCGTTCGACTTCGCATAGCGTTGCTGCTACACTTAGGCAAACATCGTTTGTGAATACGGGTGTAAAACTTACTTACATCGGTGATTAAAAATTGGGGCGTAGGTATATTTATGTTCTATAAAAGCCATCTTTCTAAAGATCTCGTTAAAGCTGTATCAGGCATTGGTCTGACACAACTAAGTTCGAGAGGCAAGACTTTCAGCGGGACTGTTATTGCAGGTGCATATTAAAATTCCATACAACTTCAAGCATACATTCAGGTTCTTGATTGGTTGAAGTTATAGGTATGTGTTACATTCAAAACTCATAATCGGTCAATAACACTTTTGGACTGGAACAATCAATCATCAAAAGTGATATAGACCAAGAGCATCAGTCAAAACTACTTTTGAATGATTTTTGCGGTCAAAAGTGGTTTTGAGTGATTATGAATTCTGACTGCAACATATATTTAGACTACTCAAAGGAATCTTATCTATGACTAAAGTTGAATCGAGCTTCGAAGATTGTTTTTTAATATACACCTTAGGTTCATATTATGAAGCGATATTAAAATATGAATGTACTTACACTCATGAATCTTTTTAGTTTGTTTTAATTTTAATGCACTTTGGAGAAAATTGCGACATGACTTATCTTGAGTGTTAGATTCATATTCGGATATCATTTTTTAATACGGACCATAATGTAACCGACCTGCCGAGTATTGTTATTTTCTCTAAATTAAAGACTTTTAGGCCTAAATAAATTTACACAAGTGTTGTCTTGTGCTTGTCAGTTATTTTTTTATATTTACGTTTAGATATGTTATGTAAGTACGTAATACAAATAATTGTTTTAACTAAAAAAGCTGATATTATTATTTTTTCTTGCGAGTAGGCAGTTTATATTTAAGTATCCCTTCAGTGATTAATATCACTTAATTCTTAAAGCTTCTCATCAAATCAGTGCTTTACAGAAAAATATATGGGTATGAGGTTGTAATATTGCACATAAATAGTTGCTATATTTTGTGACAAATGTAAATAAAATCCATTTATTCTCAGAGATATATTGATAAGTCTACAAAAAGAGCGAATATCAAATTTCGAGCGTACTTCTATCGTTTTTTGTATCATTTTTTAATTCATTTTAACCATTCATTGATCTTTGAAGATTACACTTGAAATTTTATTATTCGGGTATATCAGACACACTTAATCAGTAAATATCGATTTACTATGAAGATGTAGTCAAGATAAGTAGTTTTCTTTCCATGAATTTACCGGTTTCATATTCGCTCTTTATATAATGCAATATACTATAGATATAGTATTCATATACACATTATATATTCACAAAAAAACAGAGTATGTATTTACAAAATATCACATCCTGCATCAAAATGTACAAAGAATATAATATTGAAACGTTAAAACCGCGTTCATCTTGCAATCTACGAAACCTCGTAAAGGTTTTTTAGGCTATGATGAGATACTGGAATCACTAAACTACTGGTATTTATTTTCACCATGGCAATGTGTATATGATAGTTTCCTTCGTCATCTCCTTTTTTAATGGCATTAACAGTAATTTTTATTAACACTACACAATTGCTTACTGGTTCTTTAGTTTATACTAGAGAATATGCTTTTGGGCGATATTTTTCTGGATAGAATCAACTCCAGCTTGACTTCATACGGTTTCAGCATTCCCATATTATGAAAGCCCTAAAGTGCACGTCCATACGAAGAACCCTCCAGATTTGAAAACTAAATTGTATGAAATATTTTTGTACCAATAAAAAATAAACCTATTTTAAAACTAACACGTACCTACATGACAAGCTTGTAATAAAGGACTATAGTTAGCATTTAAACATATTGTTATTTTACCTAAAGTTATGTAGATAGATAATCGTGAATGAAACCTGCGTACTTGGTTTCAGTTATTTAAATAGTCTGCTATTTGATTAAATCAATTTTAAATTATGGTTTTATGTGTTTATTAAGGTAAAAAAGCTGGTACATATGAATGTAACTATGTACTTACGCAAAATCGAAGGTAATTGCTGATTATGTCACTTGTAACGAAACTACAACCATCATTGCAATTTGTGTTTATTACGATGAATTGTTACATAAGCTAATTTTATTGACTTGGGTATTACTCACAGCCTCTTTTTATCTTGCCTTGTAGGAATTACTGCGAAAAGACAGTAATATCTTGAAAGGTGCGAATGGTCCTCGCTTCCAGCTTTATTATTACAACATTTAGTGGATAAATTCTCTCACTCTAATAGCTTTCTCTTCAGCATGTAAAAGCTGAACGTACCGGCATGTTACAGTGTGTTCTTGTTGACTTAGGCCCAGAACAGACGGTGAAACGCAATTGCAACGAAACTGCAACTTCTAGTTACTTTTGAATTGCATCTAAGTTTCTGCCATAGATTCCGTTAAGAGACACACACACATGACGCGACCAGTTGGAAACCGGTTTGAATTCAAAAGTAACTAGAAGTTGCAGTTTCGTTGCAATTGCGTTTCACCGTGTGTTCTGGGCCTTACTAGTGTGACTTATACAACCACATGGCCTCATTCCGAAGAGGAAATCATACTGTATCAAAATATATATTAATTAACCATATTT